GTGGTGGAGTTGGCTCATCCCCAGCTGGCAGAGGTGGCACTTCTGCTTTAGGAGGAGCTAGCTGCTACACTTCATCTGAGGAAATTAGATGAACTACGGGAGGCTGAGCTTCGGCCGGATTTGCCTGATTCTCCACTCCAGCACCTTGCGCTTCTTCTTTTTCTTCCCCTACGGCCACCAGCTCAACATCAAAGGCTGGAGGAAAGATAGCGCGTCCCTCTGCATCACGCTCCCACCTTAGCTTGATCAGAGGTCGGAAGTCAGCAGAGAGACTTTCACCATCCTTCTCCACCCCTTCTTCTTGCTCGCCAAAGGTGACCGTCGTGACGCCACTTCGGGATACTGAGTCTTCACCTTCTTTCTACAGTCGATGAAGGCCAAAATTGCGGTCGGTAGATGGTAAAGGTTGATGATGTTCTCGAAAGTGCTGGAGTTGAGGAAGTTGCCAATGTGCTCCTCCATTCCATTGTGAACAAGCAGATTCACGTTCTTCTTCAGCTCCGCCACTCCTTTCTTCATGTTCTCAATGTATTTGTCTTGAGCCTTAAGCTTGTCTTCACAGATCTTCCTCTTACATTCTTCGAAGACGAGCCTCGTGCTCAAGGTATCATTGTCATTCTGGAGTTCGGTTACTGATGGCAGAACTTCATCCAATTTCCTCTGCATTTCTTTGTTCTTCTTCAGTAGCTCCTCCTTCTCCTTCTGCAGTTCCTCACACTGCCTCTACAAGCTGGCACAATCTTTTATGCTCTCCGCATACTCCTGCGCCAAAACGTTCACCCAGCTTGCACTCTACGATGCAAGCAGAAGTTAGAACTCAAATGCAAAAACCAATAAATCAAAAATAAAGTATGAATACACTGTAATTTCTCTACATACCTCTAGGGAGTGCCTCACAACGTGAGCCCCTAGTTGGCTCATTGCCTCATCCCTTGCCAGCCTCCTATCCACCTTTGGAAGCGTGGCATTTAGAAACCGCTTCGCCCAGTGATGTTGGTTGCATCGAATAAGCTTTTCTGGAACGAAGGAAGAGGGATGAGCTCCTTGCCTTTGCCAGGTCCTTGCACCTCGGTCTCCTCCCCCTCCCTAACTTCAGGATCAACTTCCGGAGGAGAAGGCCGAGGCACGAACTCAACCACCTCATCCCTCCTAGCTTCTGGCTTTGCCACCTTCCTCTTCTTCCTCTGCCGTGGCGCCACTCCTCACTCACCTCTTCACTACTTCTCCTCATAGGCTCTAGCCTTTGCTGCATCTCCAGAGCCCGGGCAGAAGTGCTGGACAGCCACTCCTTCTCTGTCGCCCCCTTTTCTACTACAGTTAAAGTCTTTGACTTCTTCCTTGGCTTCTTTGGGATAGGCAGCCCCCCAACAGTGTTCAGAAAGCTATCCATCTCAATTGCAAAACAAAACATAAATGTCAAAACACACCAACTGAAATCTCAACTGAATTGTACAAAACAAAAATAAACAAACCTTCGCTCAATGAGCTTAGCCCATAGAGCTCAGTAGCCTTTATCGTCTCTACGCTGGTGAGGTACATGATATCCACTAACTCCCCTTCTTCCCTCACCAGCTTCCCTACTTCCTCCACCTCATCCTCATTCAACTTATAATTGTTCTGCTTGGTCTTTTTAGCTTTCTAAACAGACAACTGTTCTACTTCGGCATCCCTCCTACTCCACTCAGTGTCATCCACGAAGAAGAATTTTTCTTTCCATCCTTTAATGGATGACGGTCCAACAGTGAATAAACTCCTATTCTCTTTGCTGGACAACCAAGGGCCGAAGTATCACCCCTTCTCACCCTTACCCCCATCCCTTATTACAAAGAAATGCTTAAACATATTTACGGTGGGGACCCTAACCCCCTGAGCTCGGCAGTATACTATAAAACCTATTATTAATCTTATGGCATTTGGAGTTAATTGGGTTATTCTTATACTATAATCTAGTAATAACCCAACCAGTAATTCTGGAATGGGAAACCTAAGCCCTGCAAACAAATAATGGACATACATGGGCATCCAGTGGTCTCGGGGTGCTGAGCATGCTCTCTCATTCACCCCGGCAAGCCTAATTAAGACATGGTGAGGAAGGTTATAGTTATTTACTAACCCCCTAAGACTACTCCCACTACTCAATTCACTCACATACCCCTTCACCTCAGACACTACATCTAATTTTGGGTCATAACACCTACCCAAATTACCCTCAACCTCCATTATGTTTGAGGGAATTTCTTCTTCATCCTCTTCCACTACCCTTCGCTCCCTCCTCTCCTCCACCTTCCTCTTCGAACTAGATGGAGACGAACTACTCTTCGAGTCCATGCCACTATACTCCAGAGGCATCACCTCACTTCTTACTACAGTCATTGTCCCTTCTGAAGACATTTCCTCAATTTCTGCTTAAAGTAGAAGGAGGAATGGAGTCAGGACCCTTAAAAAATTCTAACACACACTCAATAGCATTCTCACTCCCAACCCTAACTTTCTTCAGAAGACCCAAAATCAAAAACAGAAAAAGAGAAAGGAGAATCACACTTTGGTAAAATCAAAATAAAAATTTCACAAATTTTACCTGATTTTGATCTTGGGAAACTGTTGTTGAAGTCTCAATCGAAGCACATATCGCACGAAACCATAGAAATTTAGCAAGAATTTGGTAGCAAAATAGCGAAAGTAAAAACCCATTTTTACAAAAGTATTGCCTTTTATACCAAAAGCAAAATACGCCTCAACAGCTGTGATTAACTCCATCTAACAGCTGCAAAGACACCATTTCGAATTCGATGGTTAACCCCAAACGGCACCGTTTCGAACTCGACGGTTCATTTTTTAAATTTGCCCGTTAGCCTGTGACAATTATCTTTTTACAACCGCATTTATTATGCACGTCATTCAGAAGACAACTGTCACATCATGTACTGCCTCTTTTGTCAAACTTCTCAGACGGGTCCATTTAAGCCTATTTCAACACTCTTGCTCACTTTTATCCATTTTAAATTTTGCAAGTGTTTTACTTCGGCAACCAACCTGATGGCTTCAGTCATGCTTGTCTCTTCAGTTCTGACCATAGTGACCAGTGTCACACGTTTTACTTCGGCTCCGGCCACAATTACCCAACGTCACATGTTTCACTTCGGCTACCGCCATAGTAACCTAATGTCACATGCTTTACTTTGGCTCCTGCCACTATGACTTCGGTCATTATTTTTATTATGGCTCCGGCCACTATGACTCCGGTCATTATTTTTATTATGGCTCTGACCACTATGACTCCGATTATTATTTTTATTACGGCTCCGGCCACAATGGTTTCGGTCATTACCTTTTATTACGGCTCCGGCCCTTATGACTCCAGTCGATACTTTTTATTATGGCTCCGTCCACTACGATTCCGATCATCATTTCTTACAATGGCGTCGGCCACTATCACTCTTGTCAAATTTTATTTTGGGCATGACCATCATGACCCCCTATCTCATACTTCATTATTGGCTACGGCCATACATATATTTGAGTTACAGCTTTTTATTTTTATCTTTATTTTTACTTTTGTAACTCATCTTTAATATCTTTATCTCCCTTCCTTTCTATTTATGCACTACTCCCATTATCTTCAACAACATCATTCACAAGTG